CTTATTATCATTTATATTTTGTCCTACCTCCCTTCGAAGACAATGGGCTGCTTTTCTGGGCGCCTGATGTCCTCTGCTAGCGATCAGAAGTTGTTTTGTGAAATTTGCTCAGCATTCAAATGTTCTTTCAATGAATTTGTAGGAGAGAAAGGGGTCTCTCCGTCCTATTCCTCCGCCATCTTGGCTCCTCCCCCGGGAAACATAATTCACTCTCATGAACTTAACCATCATGGTTCTGTGAACTTTTGTCAGAAATAGAAGTTGGATATCCTGAATTTCTCTACCACTCTGTGTGTGTATGTCCATGTGTATGTGATTTTTTAAGCTCATGGTGGAGATTGAATTATTTTTTATTGAGAACATCTCCCTCAATTACCATTTAACACTGAATGGCTTTGGAAATTAGCTTTCGTTCCAGGTTTGATAATATTTCTTAATGAACTACACCTAAAATTACAAAGCAAACAGTGCTTATGTTAAAAAAACATATTGTGGTAAAGTCATTTCAATGATAATTAACATTATTTGAATCAAAGTAATGTCAGACTGCTTTATACTCTTCAGATGCTTTCAAAAGTTAAATTAAGGGAGCTCTCTATTCACATACAAATTTGCAGTAGATATATATTCAAGCTCATACTATAATTCTAGCAGCTTTTTTTCAGTCCTCTATGTATAAGGGCTTTTTTTCGGTCCTCTAAGTACAAGGGCTTCCATTATAGTTCTGTTGGGAAAGAATCTGCCTGCAGTACAGGAGACCCGGGTTTGATTCCTGTGTTGGGAAGATCCCCTGGAGAAGGAAATGGCAACCCACTCCAGTATTCTTGCCTGGAGAATCTCATGGACACAGGAGCCTGGCATGCTACAGTCCGTGGGGTCACAAAAGTCGGACATGACTTAGCGACTAACCCACCACCACCACCATGCAAGTACAAAGGAAATTTCCATATTTCAGATCCACTAAACTGTGCAGTTGAGGAGCTTCCACATAAACTTCAAATGAAAGTGATTACTCTGCAATGTAATGACATGCTAAAAGGCAAATATCAAAAGAACCTAATAGAATTCTATAATTTTCTTCCAAATAATGAATATGCTAAATTAAAATCACATGCTTGTGGATTGATACCAGTATTTAGAAGTACTTATCTCATGGACTGATACCAGTATTTGCCAATATCTGTGTGAAAAGACATTTGCAAAGGTGAACTATGTAAAAAACTTCATTACAGAACAGATGAACATATGCAGTTTTGATGACAGAGAACACTTTGATCTTCAGTTAAGCAAAATGATATTCTGCCAAAAGAATTTCATTCTTCTCACTAATAGACCTATATTATTTAAACATTGTAAGCAATTATTAATATTTTTTAGTTTCAGCAATATTTGTGGACATTTGTTGTGGACTTCTGTTATGTAAGTACCTACATAATAACAACCTCGATTTTACCTTTGAACACCTCCAAGCCCCAAATGTTAACTCTCTGCCCTTTACAGAAGTTTCCTCAACCCACATTATCAATATATTGCACCATTGTGGGGTTTTTGGACAATCGTAAAACTAAAAGGACATGAACCTTCCGGACTTAAACGTAGGCTAGAAGCAAACCCAGGGCGTCAAAAGAACCAGGAGACGATTGTGAACAATTCTACAATCTAAGTGCCTTGATTGTTCATTGGACACAGGGCACGTCAATCCTTATTTGTCAGCAAATGAGCTCAGAGCTCGTGACGAGAGGGCACGTCCTATTGGCTACTCTTATGGCCCCGCCCCTCATCTGCGGCCTAGCGGAATCTTTTGCATCAGGCCTGTCTCCACTGCCTGAGACCCAGCTTCCGGTGGGACGCTCCCACTGTTGGCTGCCTACCCTCCCTGTCGTGGGGCCTCCTCTGTCGTCCCCTCAGTGGCCGCCTCGTCCTGTCCCACCACCCTCAGCCTCCCCTCAGGGCAGCCACTTCAGGTGCCACCACCTGCGCTGTTGCTGTCATCACCCGCCCAACTGAGGTAACTGCCTAGTGCCATGTCCGCTACGAGGGGTGGAGATCCAGCCCCTGACGGGCAGGAAGGCCCAGCAGGCATGGCGGGGGTGCAGACCGGAACGGCCAGAGCCCGCGAAGGTGTGGACCGCAACTCCGGGCCTCGCAGGGGTGACGCCGTGCCTGAGGCTGGGGAGGGCGGAATGGCCGGGGCCTCGGGAGGCCCAAGGGAGGTTGCCCTGGAAGGGGGGAGCCCCGAGGAGGACTCGGACATCGGGCCGGCCGAGGACGGGGAGGAGGAGCAGGCAGGGGGCCTGGACCTCATAGTGGAGGTGCGCCACTCCCCCATGGCCGGCTTCCGCTTAACGTTCCTGGACCGGGTGCGCTCGTTGCTGAACGGCATCTTCTGCAACGACCTAGTCCAGCCTCATGGAGGCCACATGTCAGTCCGGCACCGGGCCCAGCAGCACTCATCTGATCAAGGCTCGGCCGAGGTGGCCGAGTTCTCTGAGCTCCAGGTGTCGTCGGATGGACCGGGGGAGGGGCCGGCGGGGAAGGCCCCAGCCCAGGAGGTGGAGGAGGCAGAGGAAGCCGAGGAAACCTCTTTATGGGAGACAGCCACTGAGGAGTCTGAGGAGTCCAGCTTGTGGGAGATGGCGCAGGAGCTGGCTGCCCCTGAGGGTGAGCCTTCAGGAGGGCGGGGGATGTTGTGGGGTGGGGACAGGGACACTGGCATCTGCAGGCTGGGTCTGGGGACCAGGGATCCCGAGGAGGGGGCAGGCTCGGGGGAGGGTGCTTCGGGAGTCAAGGCCTCTGAATCGAAGGCCAGAGGGGCCCAGTAGAAGCCCAACTCCATAACCTCTCTGATTTGGGGGGGAAAATAAGCTTCCCTCTGCCAGCCCTGGTAAGAGGTCTGAGATGATTGGTGCCAGTTATGAGCCCATAGGTGAAGATCAGTGAAGGCAGGTGTTTGGGAGGGAGCTTGAGAGGACGTGGAAGAGAACAAACAAATGGCATACCTCATATTTGATTCATAGCTTTTAAAAATGGCAAGATTCTTGGAAAGTTGATCCCAAAATATTATGAACTGATATAGGAGCACTTGGTCAAAATGAAGTATTCAGGGGGTTGAGGAACTAATGACCTTCACCATAGAATTTGTCATTGAGACAAACATATTTTGGTGAGAAAGTTCTGACCAAAACATATAGAATGCATCAGACCCAAAGGATTCTTATCTCTGGCCAGAAGTAATCAGTAGCACAGGGTGACAGATTTACTAGAGAAGAAGAAATAATATGATTGTGAAAATGATCAAGCAGCAGCAAAGTGAGGGCCATGGAAGTGTTGTATCCACCAGAAGGAAGGCCCCCAGTTACTCTTTTCTTAGTTGCTCCTATCCTCCTTTTCCTGAGAGTAGAGTTCTGGATGTCTGTTGCTATTCCTTATGAGTTGGGATTTTTTTTTTCCTGTGACCGTCTGGTTCCAAACTCTGTATTATTCTTCACTAAAGAAATAACTAAGTACCAGGATGAGAACTCCGAAGAAGAGGTCCAAGACACTGAAAGTGAGGGGAAAGAAGAGAAGTATAACAAAAAACAAGAAGAACCAGAAAATAATCTGGACCCAGCAAACGACAGGCCCAGAAAGTCCAGGTATCTGTGTATAGCTTTGAAAATAACCCAGCCATTCCCAGGCATTTACAAATTTTTTTTGCTTTTTAATTCTCCCAGTAAATTAAGAAAAAGTTTGTTTAAAATTAGTTCAACAATTCAAATTTACCTAATGTTTATAGAACACTCACACACCTAGTAATATAAAGTGCATTGTGTACTGAAATATACTTCATGGCTCCTCATTTGTTTTAATGAGGTCTTTTGTCCTCCATCTGTAAGACTCCTAACAAGTTGTAAATGTATCAGTACCTAAGACCAGTATTTGTTTAGTAAACCGTTACTAGAAGCAGCAGCGAAAGTAACTGGGCTTTGAACTAGTAGAGTGTTTATTCCTTGACCACAGAAGTGGAGTCTCCTGCACTAAGAGATGACATCTTTTAGAATGTGACTACTTACAAATAGCAAAAAGTTCAGAATTTCAAGTAGGGACCACATTTAGTGTTTAATAGCCAAACGTTTGTTCAGTTGGAGATTTTTAAATTTTATGTGACAGTTAAAAGAAGAGCAACTTTGTCATAGTATGACTGTTGCTTATCAGTGAGCTGGTAATGAAGGTATAAGATATATCTTGTCTTTAATGATTAACGTTTTTTCCCTCATTTTCATAGTGGTGTATTTCATAACCACCTCTTTCTCATATGGTAGATATGGAAACTGAGGGTCTGGGAGAGTAAGGGAGTATCATCTGTGGACTGAGCAGACTTTTAAGGTGAAAAGAGTGATTTAAGTCCCAGAATAGCCTCTCAAAGGGAAAAAAAAAAACATTTATGGTGTTGGGCAAGAGGGAGACAAGGTTGATAGGATCACATAATTGAAGCCATCAGGTTGTATTTGTACCAGTATCTATGATGCAGGTTACAAGAGGAAAATATGTTTTTCTTCCATACTTGTTGAAATAACAGCCCTCAGATATAGATAGCATCAAATATAGATAGGGCCAACTGTTATCTTAGATTAAGAAAGTCTCTGGTGCTGGTTAATGCTGTATAATTGTTCATTTTCTCTCATTTCATCCTGCAGTTTGGAAGACTAGAAAGATGGAGAAAGAAGGATCAAGATTTTTAGGTTTTTCATTTTGCAGAAGCCCATGGGAATGTTATTAACGCTGATTCCATTCCAAAATTCATTTCCCTAAAAGCGATATCCAATAAAATATGATTTTTATCTTCTACAGATATATTTGATAGCATTTGTTCTAGTTAAAAATAAGTTTGTTTTAAATTAATAAGCTGAAATGCAGGCAGATTTTGTTTAGATAAATAATCTTGACTCAAATCTTTCACTTTTGTTTGACACACTTTACCTTCATTGAAAGGCATCACTTTCCACCATTTGGTAAGCCTGTTTTAAAGTCTTTTATTGCAGCCCCAAATAAATTGAAATATCAAGTTTAAAACAATTTTTGTAAAGCCAGAAATGGAGATCAAGCCTTTAGAACTGAGCTTGTTTACTGCACTAGTTACTAGCCGTGTGTAGTTGTAGAACATTCAAAAGGTGGCTAACCTCAGTTGAAATATGCTGCAAGTGTAAAAAATAATGTAAAGTCTCATTAATAACTAATTACACATTGAAGTGATAATCTAGTATTAAACAAATACAGCATTAAAATGACTTTCTCCAGTTTCTTTTTACTTTTAAGTGTGGCTACTATTAAAATTACATGTGACTTGTGTTATATGTGTATTTCACAGTACTGCTGGGTGCTTTTGAAGGAAACCTGATGTATGGCCCAGCTAGCCTGGAGGCCAAATAGTGCTGCTGTGCCTGAGCCCAAAGGCTGATCTGGAGCACTGGTTCTCAAAGTTTGGTCCTTAAAATAGCATTATCAGCATCACCCAGGAATTCTTAATCTCCACCTAAGACCTGTGAATCAGAAACTTTGGGAGTGGGGCCCAGCCGTCTGTGTTTTAACAAGCCCTCCAGGGGATTCTGATGCAGTTAAGGTTTGAGAAGCGATGCTTGAGAGCCACAGGGGGAGAAGCTGAGATCCATCTATGGTGGGACCAGCCTTCATTCACTGGCTTGGGGATGCTGGAGATAAATTGAACAGGATGGTAGTGGCTGAACTGGGGAGGAGATTAAGATTCACAGGGGCTGAGACACAGAGAGGCTGTGGGTGGGGATGGCTTCTCTGGTGGCTCAGATGGTAAAGAATTTGCCTGCAATGCAGGAGACCTAAGTTCAATCCCTGGGTCGGGAAGATCCCTGGAGAAGGGCATGTCAACCTACTCTAGTATTCTTGCCTGGAGAATTCTGTGGATAGAGGAGACTGGAAGGCTACAGTGCATGGGGTCACAAAGAGTTGGACACGACTGAATGACTAACACTTCCAGAAAAATAACCAAGGGACAGAGCTGGTTTCAGAAGGTCACAGACATGATACCGGGTATATGAGGTCTAAGAGAACATTCACACACCAGGTATGGATGGTGGATACACACACAGAGTAAAAGGCAATGCCTGTGAGGATGTGTGTGTACTCAAGCATACAGAAAGGCATGCAGTGGAAAGATAAACACTACATTTAGGATGGTGGCTACCCCTTGGGGAAAGAAAAGGATGGCAATCCTATTGGGAAGGGATCCACAGTGGGCTTCAACTATATTTGTAATATTACATTTCTTAAGCTGGGTGGTATATACATAGATGTCAACAGTATTATTCTCTATACCTTTGTGTAGGTCTGAAATATTTCATAATTAAAAATTAGTAAAATAAGGAAAGGGAGAGAATAAGCTTAAAATCTAGACTCTGTTTAAGAGGGAATAAAGGATAAGTCATATTTGATCAGTGGATCAGAGAAGGGGATGGGCCTGGGGACCTGAGACTAGACAGGTTCATTTCTGCATTTAGTTGACGCTTCCTAAGTGCTCTCTTGGTAGCACTGATACCTTCTCTCATATTCTGTGGTAAGTGAAGTGAAGTGAAATCGCTCAGTCATGTCCAACTCTTTGCGACCCCGTGGACTGTAGCCCACCAGGCTCCTCCGTCCATGGCAAGAATACTGGAGTGGGTTGCCATTTCCTTCTCCAAGGGATCTTCCCGACCCAGGGATCGAACCCAGGTCTCCCGCATTGGAGGCAGACGCTTTAACCTCTGAGCCACTGGGGAAGAGCATTTTTAATTGAGGTGAAGTTCACTTAAAATCAACCATTTAAAAGTGAACAATTCAATGACATTGACAATTTTGTGCAACCACATCTTTTGATGAGCATTTTCATCAACCCAAAACTCTGTACCTATTAAGCAGTCATTCACCATTTCCTCACCCTCCAATTCCCTGGCAGCCACCAATCTGCTTTCTATCTCAATGAATTCACCTATTCTGGACATTTCCTATAAAGAAAACCATACAATATGTGAACTTTTGTGTCTGGCTTCTTTCACTTAGCATAATTTTTTAAGGCTCATCTACATTGTAGCATGTATCAGCACTTAATTTTAGGGCTGAATAATATTTCTGTTGTATGTATATACCACAGTTTGTTTATCCATTCCTTTTGTTGGTAGACATTTGCATTGTTTCCACCTTTTGATTATTGTGAATAGTGCTGCTATGAACATTTGTGTCCAAGTATTTGTGCATGATTTATATATGTGTGTATCTCCTGCCCCCACCTCACCTCCCCCAGGACTGTGAACTTCTGAATGGTTTGGGCCTTAAAACGTTTTATCTTTCCCAAAGTCATAGGCACTGAGTTGTCCACTTAGTAGGTGCTCCACTAATATCTGTCAAAGTAAACTTAACATTTACACTGTCATTTTTTTTTGTCATCGATGTTGACATTTTAAAATGTGTTATATTATTATGGCTAGAACCACATGGTGAGACAGAAGGCAAAGCACTCCCTGTCACCATTATTTCAACTGAAAGGGCAGGTCAAGTAGTAGGATTTGAGGCCCTTCAAACTGGTTCTGATTTGTTAGTATTTCTGCGGTGCTAGTTGTTAAAATAGTATTGTTTCTAGGCCCAGGCAAGAGGTATCTCTGTCTTGAAGAGGTATCTATGCTTTAGAGGGCCCACTTTGGTCCTCTTCCAGCCACACCCCTCCCGCCAGGGCCAGGAGCCCAGCCCGTGGGAACAAGGGGTGTGTCCCTGCTAGCCCATGCTCCAGGTACCTGGCAGCCCTGAACAGTCCCTAGCCTGCTTCTAGGGCCCGTGTGCTCCTCTTAGACCTGTCCTGGGGAGGGCTGACTGCACTCACTGCTGGGGTGGGTGCTCCCAGGCCCAGGGAGGGATTGTAGGCCCAGAAGGGGATGCGGCCTGGCCTAGGAGCCAGGGCATGGGCAGGGGGAGGGGAGGGAGGGCAGCTCTTTCCACATCATCAGGGCAGAACTTAGAGGAGTCTGAGAATTCTAAATCCCAACCTGGCCTTTCAGGTCATTAGGAAGTTACATTTGTCGTGGAAGAAGATACAACATATTTAACGGTTTATCATTTGATTTAAACACTTTAAATATTTTTAGACATGTTATGTGGATCCCTAACTAAACTCTTTTTTTTTGAACCTTGCGAATAGGACAAATGTTATGGACAGGCCAGATTAAATATCTGCTCTATTACCCTTTCCCCTTGCTCACTCTGTGTTACACTTTGTTATCTGAGCATGGCGGGGCCCCTTCCTTTTGATAATGGATTGTTCTAGAAGCCCATCTTGCAGGAAGACTCAGACCTAGTCCCTGAACCAGGCTGCAGTACAACCTCCATCTTGCCCTCTCTACTCACCTGTCTGCATTTTCTCTCCCACCCATCTCTTTGCTTCTTATGTGTTTACACGTGTGAAAACCTCCTCTTCAGTACTACCACTCCCTCATATAGACACCCACCTGGAGGCCATCAGCTTGGTCAGGCACACCTGCGTAGGGGTCCTTTCTGCTCCACACAACCTCTCAAGATCATTTGCTCTTCTGACAACCCTTGGGTCTAAATTGTCAATAACCTATTCAATTTCCCTCCCCGTGTGACAGAAGAGACAAACTATAGAACAAGCTTTATTGAATTTATTTGCTTTGCATACAGCAGAAATCAAGAATGCTAAAAGAAGCTGAAAACTTACCAAAACGTGCCTTTATGCATTAAAGAAGACTTAACCTCTTTACTTAAAACATATTTTTTTGTTGTTAACTGTGAAAAAGAAATTGTTAATGGAGAGTTCTCAGAGTGAGAATAACCTAATTGTGGTCCAGCCTGAGAAAAGGGGGAAGGGAGGTGTAACAGTTAACTTACCAGGATTTCCTGGGTAAAGGTATCTACCTTAATGAACTGTTCACTATGGAAATACAACAGAATCAAACCCAATCAATCAATCAAAAACCTAGCATTATCAAAAAGGCAAAAATATAGTATAAGGAAAAATATTTGTTTTACACAGAAAATGCAAAATCCAGCAAATGATTGTACAGTATCACATTATACCATCATCAGGAAAACCAAGCACCAAGGGTTGAAATTACCTCTGCCACCCTACAGCCTCTGAATTTTTCTTGCATAAGGCAGCACCCTACTCAGAATTTAAAGGCACAGTTATGTCTAGGGCTGCATTTCTGTTTAAACAAAGTAGCTCCACGGTGACAGAGGCAGATACCATGAAAGGTATAATACTAAGACACTTCTGGGTTCCCTAAGAAAATGAGCCAGGTACTGTCCAGGCATCCAGAAGGAGCTCTCCCTTAGTGTTTTGTGTGTGTGTGTGTGTGTGTGTGTGTGTGTGTGTGTGTGTGTGTGTGGCAGGTGTGTGTGTGGGGTGGGGTGATTGGAATGGAGGGCAAGGACTTGGAGTGAGTGGTTCACTGGAGAGGTAGGAGCTGTCCAGCCTAGTGACTGTTGGGTGTGTGTGCCTCTAGGAATGAGGGCAGGGAAAGGCTAATTCAGTCACTCCAGGCTTCCAGTTAGCAGAAAGCCACCTCTCCTATGGCTTTGAGAATTCAGTCTTGCTTTGAGCCCAAATCTTGTGAAACAGAGGCTGCTGAGGGAAAGCAACAAGAAACTGGGCTACTGGGAGCCAGGGCTTAAGACAAGCTGTCCAGGAGCCCCAGACTTCCTTCGTGGAAGGCTTCCCATCTGCCTGACTAAAAGCACAGCTTTCGGCCTCTGTTGTGCTGTGCTGTGCTTAGCTGCTCAGTTGTGTTCGACTCTTTGTGACCCCATGGACTGTAGCCCACCAGGCTCCTCTGTCC